GAACAGAGGTTAGGTAGAACTCTTGAAGACATTGGTGTAGGAAAAGATTTTATGAACAAAACCTCAGTTGCCCGTGAACTAGCACAAACAATCAGTAAGTGGGATCTCTCTCTCTTTTTTGGGGGGGGGGGTTCTCTTCTTATTTAAAAGCTTCTGCACAGGGCCGGGAATTTAGCTTAGTGGTTCCACCACCTGGCTTGCAAGCACAGGGACCCGAGTTTGCTCCCCGGTACAAAAAAAAAAAAGAAAAAAGCTTTTGCACAGCAAGAGAAACCACCAACATTGTGAAGAAACAACCCACAATGTGGGGAAACATTTTTACCTGCTGTTCCTCAGACAAAGGTCTACTATCTAGAATCTATAAACAACTCCTCCCAAATTTAAAGACCCAATCCAAAAATGGGCAGCTGAAATGAACAGACATTTCTCAGACAAAAAAGTAGAAATAGCAAATTAACATATGAAAATATGTTCAACATCACTGGTCATTGGAGAGATGCAAATGCAAACAATGCTGAGATTCCACCTCAGCCCAGAAAGAATGGCTGCTGTCATGCAGTCAACCAATAATAAATGCTGGTGGAGCCATGGGGAAAGAGGAGCACTGCTCCACTGCTGGTGGGAGTGTAGACTGGTGCAACCACTGTGGAAATCAGTTTGGAGATACCTCAAAGAACTAAGATTGGAAATCTCATTTGACCCAGCTGTCCCCCTGCTGGGTATCTTCCCCAAAGAATTAAACAAATCATACTGCAGTGATATATGTGCACCCCTCTTCATATCAGCACAATTTGTAATGGCTAAAACTTGGAATCAGCCCAATTGCTCATCAACTGGAAACTGGATGAGGAAATGTGGTTTTTTAATAAAATGTACTACTCAGGCATAAAAAAATGAGAAATTAGAGACATTCATAGCTACGTGGATGCACATTGAGGCAATACTCTTAAGTGGAGTAAATAGGACACACATCTCACATGAGGGTTTTATAACCTACTTCAGATTAAAATACTGAATATTCCAAGGTGCCATATTTTGGGATAGTGTGTCTTGAACCCCTTGATGTCCATGGAAGCTGAATGACACAAGCTAGTAGTTAATTCATAGCTCTAGTTTTTCAGTCAAGCAAATAATGAAGGAAAAAAAACCCAAACTATTGAATAACTAGTGAAAATAAACAAGGAAATTCTAAGTAAAAAAATTCAATTTCGAAATCAGAGAAAAATACTTTGTTCATTTACAAATTTATCCTTTTAATTAAAACAAGGGGAGATTGCTGAACCATTTGCAAATTTTTGCTGAAACAAAACTCTCTTAGAGTTCTCCAATAAAGAATAATTTCTAAGGTTGTCAGATCTGAAGAAACAGAACAAAATTGAACAGAGATATTTAAACTGACAGATTAATAGAAAAAAATAGTCTTTACTGTTAGTGTTTGATTTTCACTCTCTTGAACTTAAATGTATATTTCAGGTGATTTCTTCTTGTTGAGTTATGAAGTTTTGTGTCAGTGTGATGAATTTGTGTCAGAACAGTCTGATTGAAATTTGCCAGGGGGTTGATTTTGTCCGTCTCTGGAATTTTTTATTCTGATGTTTATATTGTCTTTGAATGAGACAAAATGTATTTATAAAAAAGCAATTGTAATATTTTTCCATTTGTGTTCTATAACTTTAATGAAAAGCATGGTATTTCAGAGGCCTGACTTTAAAAACCAATGTTACAGGCCACCTATCGTGTTGTAACACTTTGTTTCTACAACTGGAATTCTGTGAGATACTGTTGATCTGAAAACACTTCTACTGTTGATATAGATAGAAGTGTTTTTGTATATAATTAGCAGTCATGCAGTAATAGAATATCTGTAAAATAGTCATTTTTTTTTAAGTAGCACTGTGAAAAAAGGCACCATGAGAGATCTGGAAAGTGTGCCTGTATTTAGGAGTAGTTGGTATACAATACTTAAAATTATTAGTTGTCCATGAGAGAAAAATGCAAAGTATGTTGGGGTAATTAAAGCAACTAATGTTTGAAATTAAAGCAACTGCGTTTGAGGGCACGCTAAAGCTTTGTGGGTGTGTATATGCCTGTGTGTTCACCGCATTTGCTTTAAATTCTCTTTCTGCACCAATAGTTATTTTGCATATCTCTGTTGACTATGAAAACTACTAAAGATTTAAGCTTTACCATAGGTGTTAGTTTATGAAATTCAGGGTATGGCACTAAAAGAAAAGTATTTGATTCTTTTAAGTAATTTAGTCTTGAATCATATATAGAGCCAAGAAAATGCATTAATAAGGTTTTTTTGAACCTTAGTTTCTCTTTAATCTTCAAATTAGATTTTAAAGAATGAAATATTAGGAATTCCATCAAATTTAAGTGGAGGGCCAGGGATTTAGCTCAGTGGTTCTGCCACCCGCCGGAGTTTGATCCCCAATAAAAAAAAAAAAAAAAAATTAAATGGGGATGGATTTATTTGAACTAATGGCTGAGTAAAATGGTGACATTCCCATATTAAACATGATGGTTTGGTATATTATAATACACATTTTTATTTCATGGAAAGTAGAATTTTTATGAGCAGTAATTCAGAAAAATATGAATTAACTTCATGGAACTATTCTCTACATTAAAAAAGTACTTTAACTGATACTGTTTTTGGTTGTTCCATGCGGCACCTGGTCAACTATTCTAAATGTTTTGCACACTGTTCTTTAGTTTCAGCTCAAATCCTCAAGAGCAACCTTGCAGCCATGGAACAACAAATTGTTCATCTGGAACGTGACATCAAGAAATTCCCCGAAGCAGAAAATCAACATGATAAGTTTGTGGAAAAGATGACAATATCCTTTATTTAAGCATTTTGTTTACTTGTTCGTCTTTGTGTCTATCTACCTGTTTACTGTGTGGTTAATTTTAGACTTGCTAGTCTATAATACTATCTACATGAATTCGTGTGTATGCTGTTTTTATATTAGCAACATAAATTTTGTTTCCTGATGTTTTGAACTAAGTAGAATAGGCAAGAGTACAATCAGATCAGAAAAATTGCCATTTCTCAGTGAATTTCATCTGAATTCCCAGAAGATATATAAGGTAAGTCTTATGAGGTTTGATTAGACCTAAAACAAAACAAAATAATCTTCTTTGTAACCAAATACTTGAAATGATCAGCATTAGAAGTTTTTTCTTTTTTCTCTGAGAATTTTTTTTTTTATGTGTGTGCTCATACATTTTCCAAGAGCACATATGGTTTTTAAGGGCAATCAGAGAATGGATAATATCAGAAAACTGAGAGGACTATGAAAGATAAGCAGATATGTGGATGAATAGATAGATGAAGTGATCAGTAAGTATATATTTCAATGTGTAAGAAAGTAAGCATTTCGTGCTAAATAAACATTCTGATATCCCAGTTAACATGGAGTATATGCACATAAATTACAAAAATATATAAAAGGAGAACTTGAAAAATAGCATTTAGCTTGAATTATTTACTGTTAAAGCTGGTGTCTAAATATAAACTATATTATAGCTAATAGCCATATCTTCCTCCTGTAAGTTTAAATAAGTATCTTGAACTTCAGATTGATTCACTATTTTATAACTCCAGAGGGAATTAATACTATAAATTCTTTATCTGATAATAAGTAAATTCCTGCAACAAGTATATGGGAATCACCTTGTTTCAAGGTTAAACTTATTGCCTTTTTCTTCTCTGATATGCTTTCTTTCCCACCTATCTTGTAAGTTATATTGCTGAGCCCATATTACTTGAGAATTACAACTTAGATTTCTATCAAAATAATTATCTTTCACTTGCAGTGCTTTGGTGCATTAATACTATTTTTGGTGTGGCCCGTTAGTGCTATTGAGTACTTTCATGAGTAGGAATATTGGAATGACTGTTTTTCATTTAAGTGGCACCAAAGTGTGACTCTTTGTCCACAGGGGGATTGAAAACTACATTAAAATGTACGGGGCTGTTACTTCACGTATCCTATTTAAAAAAAAAATAAAATAAAAATAAAAGGCAGTTTATTTCAGAGAAAAATTTAGAATATTGAGTTGAGTTGGTTCAAAACTAAAATTTAATGAATTATACAATAAAACTAGAGCTCAGATTATTTTTGTTTTGGAAGACTGCTTTGGCACCCAATGAGAATTTCAGGCTTCCAGAAAGAGACAGACAAAGTACATAATCATCACATGTATGTTATGTGCGTTCTCATGCCTACTTAATATTTTCTTTACCCTCTGGCTGTTCAAACAGAGAAGAAAATTCGTATGGTGGTATAATTGATCCTGTTTCATATTAGAATCATGTTTTCATTTCTAGTATAGGTTTTTTTTTTTTTTACTGGATGATCTTTCCAATGTTTTTATTTTCTGCCAATAAATTGTTCTGCTTCAGGTCACTGGCCCTTTAAATTGAATAACTACAGGCATAAGTATGAGAGTAATTTGTCTTGAAAGTAACCTTATCTGCTTACCTACTATAATCTTTCTATAAGGACTGTGAGTTCAAAAAGTGAATAGAATGCCTATAGCCTTTGGGCTTTGAAAATGGCAACAGGGCTATGTTTAGCAGCAGGGGCATGATGGCCACAGGGCAGTTGAATATGCACTTTGAATCTTCATGAAATTTTCTAGTTAAGCTCTTTCCATTAGCATCTTACATTCACCTTTACTCTTTCCCAATATTTATGGAATGCTTAGGTTTGCTAAGCATTGACAGACCATGAAAATACAGCAGTGCACACAGTAGAAAATTTGGCCTTAATCTTCTGAGAGTCTGTCATTTACATGCTGTCTGCTTTACTGTCTCCATAGCAAAGATTATATTTGCTTTGTTAATTACCAAATGCCCATCACCTAGAATAGTATAGGCATTCTGTAAATGTGTTGAGTCACATGATATTATAACTAGAGACAATGGTGATTACCTAGTCCAAGCATCTTCTTTTACTTATCACGTCAAAAAGGATATTGTTAAGCAGTGGTAAACTGTGGTTGTAGTTACAAAATTTTTCATCACACAAATCTCAGGAGCTTAAGAAACAGTGAATCACCTTTGTAGAGCATGCTGGCAAAAATGGTGTAATCAGTTTTAGAGGTGATGATCCACAGCTTTTAAAATAAATGTCAAAAGGAGAGAGAGAGAGAGAAAGAGAGAGAGAGACAGAAACAAGCTTTCCTATGAATGAATTTGTCCTGAGTATTTTCAGCCTCCAGAAGCCAGTGATTTTAAAAGGGCATTTATGACTTTTGTCTCCCTTTTTCTACGCAAAATTGGTTGTTTATTGTGACTCAAAAGAAAAGATAATGTAAAGGAGAAAAGATTTCTTTCCTCAACCATTGTAAGGTTTATGGCTAGTGTACCTATAAGGAGACTAATAAAAGAAAACAGGTAAATTTTTTTAGTTCTACTTTTACATGACATGGGAGCCTTTATATATGAAGACCAAAAGAAATGAGAAGATGATGTGTTTTTATGAACAGCTGTGCAGAAGTATGATTGGAATACGAAAGGATAGGATCTAATGGTAATAAACAGGATGAGGAGGGAAGATTTAGCAAGATGTTTTTTCACATAATTTTTGGATTCTTCATGTGATATTCCTTCCATGTGTCACATGGCACAGAAGGCAGGAGAAATGTCACAGAATAACCTGCCTAGGTTTTATGGCTTGCTTCTGGAAAGAGCAGTTGAGAGAAATTCTAGTTTCTATGACCCACTTCAGGTGAGAGAGGGTGGAAAGATTTGAGGGATCCTTCTGCCTCTATGGTTTACCTTAGATTTCTTCAGCTTTAAACACTCAATATGTCAAGTCCCCTCCAAAATTTATATAAAATTTAATCTCCAGTATAACAGTATAAAAGCACAGGGCTTTTAGGAGGTGATTGGCCTATGAGGGCTCTGCCCTCCTGGATGTAATTAATGCTTTATAAAAGAACTAGAGAGAAAGGGATCAGCCCCCCTTTAACCCCTTTGCCATGTGAAGTCACAGCAGGAAATCATAACCCATTCTCACCAGGCACTGAATCTGCTGGTACCTTGATGCTGGACTCCCGAGTTTCCAGAACTTTGAGAAATTTCTATTATTTATAAATTACTTAGCCCAAGGCATTTTTGTTATTAACAGCAAGAACAGACAAAAACAAGAAGGTGACATTATTTAGAGATAACATTTCCTACACCCCGTGAATGGAAATGGCAAAACAGAACTAATTTCATAGGATTACAAAACAGCAACAAAAGGGAGAAACCCTTGCATAATTCACAAGACAGAGGTGCTAGAATTAAAGGGGATGATTTACATTGGATATAACACTATATATACTAAAACACACATTGTTCAAAAATCAGGATAACCATGTGATGGAATTAGTGCTATTATCTTGATTTTTTTTTATCCTGATTTTTTGATAGAACTACATTCTTAGTCAGATCTTCCTCACCATAAGATGAGGTTACATCTAAATAAAACTATAAAAATGTTATACACTGAAAATATATAAAACATCTAACCTACCAAACATCATAGCTTAACCAAGCCTACTTTAAACATGGGCAAAATAATTACATTAGTCTACAGTTGGCTAAATCATTCAATAAGCTTATTTTGCTAAGTATTGAATATCTCATGTAACTTATTGAGTAGCTGTGTCCAAAAAACACTGGCAACACAGTATACTGGAGAATATGGGTTACTTACCTTTTGTCTTAGATAATTTCTTCTTGCTGGGACAAAATACCCAACAGCTACATGTTAAAGGAGGAGACGTTTATTTTAGCTCAGTTTGCAGAGGTTTTAGTTCATAGTCAGCTGGCTCCAAAGTAGGGTGACATGACAGGGGAAAAAGATTCCATGGCATGACAAGCAGGAAACAGTGAGACTTTCTTCTTTCCCTTTTTATTCCACCCAGGTTACAGGCTTATTGGTTGGTGCCACCCCCACACAGGGTGTGACTTCCCTCTACAGTAAATCTTTCATCTACACCCAGAACTATGTTAAATGAATCACACACTAATCCAGTCATTCCCAAAAGCTCCACCTCTGAGTGCATGAGGTTTTGTGGGGACAGACAGGGATAAGCCTTTTAATTACCTGGCTGACAGGGAGCTGAGGCCATCCAGCATTGCAAAAGAGATACAGACATCCCTGTTTAATTATGCATTTCCATTCCTATGACTAGGTTATGTTAAATCAATTGGTCCTAAATGAGGAGCTATATATAGTACCTACATTACAATATTCAGAACAAAGAATGGTGGAAGGAAACTCCAATTTGATGACATTGCTTTTATTTGCATAACTCTTACATTCAGTACTGTGATGTATAACAACATAAAACTACAGAAATGTACTGTACAGTACAATCAGCAAAAATTACTATACTGTATAAAGTATACTGTACCAAAAAAAAGACATTGAGGCTCTATAAATAAGATATATAGAACTGTACCAAACAAAGTCAAGTCGTAAGTCTGAATGGCAGATGGTAAGTTCAAACAGAGCACCTTGGTCGTTAGTATGAGTAGTCTTTAAACAGGTATGTTGTTAAACGAGGAATATCTGTAGTATCAAATATTGTTTGCCCAGAAAAAGATTGTTTAAAAATTCAAAGTGCAGTTTCCACTGAATATATATCCGTGTACAAATTTTTGCATCATCATACAATTGAAAAATTGTAAATCAAACTGTAAATCGAGATCCATCTATGTTTTTCATGCCAATATGTTCATCACAATCCCACTATTGGAAGATTTTAGCTCAGTTGTATAGTGAACCGAAACAAAACCTTTACTTTTTTTTTTTTTTTTTTTTGTCCCGGTGAA